TGGTGAAGTGCCGGCCACGGCCCAATCACCGGGTGCACGGGAAGGGCGCGCGGCGGGGGTGGGGGGGCACCCAGAGTTTTCGGGAAGCGTCGACCTGGGACTGGGCGGGGTTGGAGCCTTCAGCTGCGCGCCCCCTGCCCGAGCTTTTCTGGGTGCCCGGGGGGCGGGGCCACGCCCAGCGGCTTAGAGCTTTCGCGGAATCACAGTTGTCACAGTGGAAAGGGCCTAATGACCCAATCATCCCAGTACCCCCATTTCACAGTCAGGTCAACTGAGGTCCTGCGAGGGGGAGGGTCTCTCCCGAAGTCATTCACTGGCGGGGCGCCGTGACGAGGGGCGGTTGCAGAACCATTTCCTTTCCTAAGTATTACTCGAGTACACACTTGGTGGTGGTGCAGTGTGGGTGTGCTGGGCCCGGACCTTGCCCTTTGGGTTGGGAACGTTTAGTAGGCTTGGGACAACCTGACTCAAGGAAGAAAGTGCTAAGTGCTGAAGAAAAGGCTTGAATAAAGTTTTACGGGGGTTCAGGGGTGAGGGGTTCATTTTCTGGTCACTGGAGAGGGACTACAGATGACTCTTTGGAGGGACTGCCTTTGATTAGGGCTTTTGAAGGGTGGAGAGTTTTCTAAGGTAGCCAGCCAGCAGCATGGAGCTGCAGACTAAAAGAGAAGACTCAATAAAGTGTGTAGAATGGAGGTGAAGCTGCTGTACATGTTACTCTGCTTGGGGCATAGGGTTTCAGAGGTGTGTGTGGGGGTGGGAGGGTGAAGGGAATGAGCTACTTACAGGAATTTTGCTGAGGTATTTGGACAGTGTCTTTTGGGCTCCAGGGTCCTAGGTCTGAAAAATCTCTCTGGCTTCCTTTGGGAGGGATCTAGCCCATTCCCTTTCCCAGTACAGAAGGTTTAGCAAAACCTTGGGGTCACATCTGAGCTACTTTCCTACTGTCAGATTCACTCTGTTTCCAATTCCCTTTCTCTTTAGTTCATCTCCTCCTGTTCTTGAATTCTTTCCTCTGCAAATAAGTCATTCTCACTCAAGTGTTAGTGAATTGCACCTGTACTCGTCAAGAAAGCCCTGAAGGGAAGGGGGCGAACACGTGGAGAGGAGCACCTTTAGAAAGCAGCTATTTCCTCTTCTATCCTCAGCCACCCTCCCCCTCTCAGAGGGAAACGGACATGTAGAATTTACAGTGAACAATGGTGGACAATGGGGAGCTAAACTATTGTCAGGGTTCATGCTCTCCTATCACCAGCCTTCCTCCTTGCCTGGGTCCTGACAATGCCAGGCGGCAGTTAAAGGCAAGAGTGCATGTCTTGCATTTACTTTTTTCTTTTTGGAGAGGTTTTTGCTATAGGGCACATGTGCTCGCCAGAAAGAGACAGAGAGACAAAGCGAGAAATCACCCTCCCCTCCCCCCCCAGGGGTATGGCCACACCGCAATCCCTTCTCCTCCATTCTCCTCTCGGGATCTTGGGCATGCACACACATGCACCTGGCGTGAATTTAAGCCACTGGCTCCTTGCCTGGGTCCTGACAATGCCAGGCGGCAGTTAAAGGCAAGAGTGCATGTCTTGCATTTACTTTTTTCTTTTTGGAGAGGTTTTTGCTATAGGGCACATGTGCTCGCCAGAAAGAGACAGAGAGACAAAGCGAGAAATCACCCTCCCCTCCCCCCCAGGGGTATGGCCACACCGCAATCCCTTCTCCTCCATTCTCCTCTCGGGATCTTGGGCATGCACACACATGCACCTGGCGTGAATTTAAGCCACTGGGTCTGGGACGTGAACCGCGGTCAACTACATGGGAGTCCAGTGACATAGCCATTATGCCAATTGCTGGTCCCAGTGTGTCTTGTGTTGAATCTTTGCAGGGCAGGCCCCAAAGCAGAAGCTAGATGGGATTTCTTACAAGCTTGGAGTCTGAGTCAGGCAGTCCCCCAGGATTAGGGTCTCTGGAAGCAGCAGCGTGGGCCTAAAGTTGACTTTGAGACTAGATAAGCAGAGGGTGGAGAAGCTGAGCTGCTGGAGAGGTGATTCCCTCAGGAGGAGGTAGACTGTTCCAGGCCATGGTGGGTGGGAGAAAGAAGATGATTATGAAAGACCTTAAAAATGCCAGGCTAGGGAGTCTGACTATGACCCAAAGTCGTCATTGAGGGTTTTGAGCAGGCTGGGACATGACTTATGGGGAGGAACTGGTGTTGGGAAGCCTGCTGCTGCCAGTTCCAGTGAGAAGCAATAATTTGGCCCAAGAATATCATCAGAGGGTGCTTTTCATGTACATGACATGTGTTACCGAGTACCTATTCTGTGCCACAGGCAAACACGAACATTTTATAGCAGGCGCCTGGATTTTATTGAGACAAATAAATTGCAACGAACCAATTTTGAAACACTTCAGGTTTTAATATCACTAAAATCTGGTGTCTTATAATCATGGATGTGTCATAGTTGAGCAGTTTTATGCGTTCTCAGTTGAAAATGGTACATCCTACATTCTGATTTAAATTTGATATAAATTTGATAAAATTCATCAGTCATGTCCTTTCTGAATGTACACTGCTCTCTGTGCATTATAAAATACTTTCCAGTCAGGTACTCCATTTGAGTCCCCCAAGCCCCCTTGAGAATTGGGTCTGGACTATGTCATCTTTATTTTAACCATCATACAAGGTCTCAGTGATAATTAGAAATGTGTTCAAAATTATAACCCAGAACTTTTGATTCTTAGTGATAGCATGCTTTTACACGTGGAAGGGCTAGTTTGGGCTAATTGAGAATGGAGCAGTTAGATTGGATTTGATTTCAGAACTATGGCTTAAAATGGCGGATGATGAGGTTTTGGCCGAAGACAGTATAACTTGGGAGAACTGGGAAGCCCCCTTAGCCTAGAGATTTGCTGTATTACATAGAAAAAGGACAGGGAGATAGAACATAGCAGGTAACATGGTGAAACCAGATGTTGAAGCATGCAGTTATTTTTACAGAAAAGGAAAAATATGGTGCCTGACACACATCCTGGAGTCTGATTACTGTGAACCGGAAACTGGCCAGGCCAGGAGCACAGTGAGGAGGAGGATGATCCCTGTCTTTGAGGAGCTTCTAGGGGCGAGTGTGTGTGTGTGGTGGAGAGTAGGGTAGGGTGTCAACGTACTATGCTGTCACAGGGGGATACTTTGGCTTCTCTGCCCTGAGGAGTGTCAACCTCAGGGAAGCCATCATAAAGGAGGTGGTGTCTGAACTCAATCTTTATGGCTAAAATGGGAGTTGTATTTGTAGAAGGACAAGTGAGACAAAGACGGTCTATTCTCTAGGCTGGGCTTGGATGGCCAGCATGAAGAGGGCTGTGGAAAATGAAGGGGAAGGACTTTTACATTTCCCGAAGTTTCAAATTTATCTCCTAGGCTATAGAGGCCATTCTGGAAGTTGACAAGAGAACAAGGCCAAGCAGGGACTCTGGCACTATCTCTGTGGTATTAGGTGTTTGGATAGTAGTACCGGAGCCATCTTAGCACTTTCAGGAACTGAATGAACCTGAGACTTTGACCCAGGGCAGTAATGAGGAGCTCAGAGCTGAGTGTGTGCTTTAGTGGATGGGACTTTTCCTGGAATATGGTCTTCGGAGGATGTTTCTTTCTAGAAGGAACTTGCTAGAGGTGAGGAGGGGAGCTGTCTCCCCCTTCATCAGTGGGCCGCTGCAGGTAGGAAGCTAGGGTCTGGGTGGAAATCCAGCACCTTGAAGCTGCCTGTGAGGTGGAGAATGGGAAGTGAGGGGAAGAGAGGAAGGAATGGAAGAGTGTCCCCAGAATCTGCTTTAGGTATCTGGAGACTTGGAGAAAATGGCCTAATGTAGGTCACAGGGATGAGATTGGTGGGGGTCGCTGGCCACAGAGTGAATGGAATGGATACTTGGAAGTAGATAAGCCAGAATTGAGTGTAGAGAATGTTTATCTTTCTAGTTTTCTTTCCTAATAATAAGATCTTAAGACATTTTAGAGTGCTTACCATATGCTGACTTAATTGTCATATTGATTCATTAAAATGAGTTTATAATTATCAGTCATTTTATAGATGAGAAGATGAGTTCGGCGAAATAAGGTTACATAGCTCCTAAGTGACATGGCTGAGTGTCAAACTTTTGCCTGTGCCGTAGTTTCTTCACCACTCATTTTTGTTCCATAGCATGAAAAGTTCCAGCTAACATTGTTGTGCTCTGTTCTTCCCTGGAATTTAATTCTGCTCACATTGGTTGGGCTCTGGTAGGATCACCGTTGAGGATTTACATGGGTGGGCAGGATTCTCAGTTGCATACTGTGCTGATGGTGTCCCAGCCTTTTCTTTCTTAAAATGCTAGCAATCCTTATACCTGTGGGTGACTTCCTCCTGAAACGTAACTGGAGAGAATTGAGCCTGTCTGGCAAGTCTCTCTCAACATTGCCCCATTCCCAGCCTCCTGTAGTGATAAGGATGAAATATACATATAGAGAGGCAGTAGGGCAGTAAAGTAACAGTCAGGGAAGAGTCTTGATGTCAGCTGTCACCCTTGATCTTCTGCCGTCTGTGAAAGTATTCTCTGGAGGTGAACTAAATAACTCCTGTTGGATCCTGTCCTTCCCTGGGTCACCTGATGCATTCCTCCAAGAAAGCCTTCTGCCTCAAGACTCAGAGGAATCAACTGCTGTCCTTCCCGTGACCTACCTGTCTCAGGTGGGTCATTTGCATTTTGATGACTCACAGCTG